CCCGAGATATTATTTATCCATAGAAAACTTCCACGAGGCCGCACGTGTTACCCGTGGGTACGGAAAGGCTGAATTTGAATGGGCAAGGTTTAGCGTGGGCAGTGGGTCATTTTTCTAAAATTTCAGCTCCCTAGACTCCGTAGTTCCCGAGATATTAACTTACCCGTAAAAAACTTTCACGGGGCCATGCGTGTTACCCGCGGGTACGGGGAAGCTGAATTTAAATTTACGGGGTCACACGTGGGTGGGGAACGTTCCCCTAAATTTTCAGCTTCTTAGCTTTTGAGGTTCCCGAGTTGAAAGTTGCGGACAAGTTGCTGGGGACACACAAACAGACAATCCCGTGACATTATGCGTTTTGTACTGCTGTTACACAGCACAAAATGCATAAAAACGAAAATTCCTGTTTCACTCGGACTGCGAGTTTGTTTTACTTTTAGTTTTAAGCAGATCTGTGGAAGATGACCACTCAAGAAAAAGATATATCAACATTATTTCATGTTCTTAGCATATAATTTGTGGCAGTAATGCTGATATGTTGTTTTATTAGTTATCTTCCTATTTTCGCGCAAAAACTTGTAATTTTGCCGGAGGCATTTACATTTATCATTATTTTTACTGTAATGCTCCACAATTAGATTTTCCGTGCGTGAGTTTTTAAAGCCTCACCCAAATCGGGTTTCGTTCTTGAATTTGAAATTGGCCAGCCGAACTTACCTTTATTTTTAGCGGGGAAAAAGCATATGTTACTCCGTGATGATCTCATAATTGTAGTTTCAGGCAGAAAATTCTCAGTTCCTGAATTTGTACCTTTCTTATCAAGATGAAGCGGCGCATCTCTCTTCTGTTGCCGAACTGCGTTCTTCGAGATCACGAGCTAAATCCAACAGACAGCGGTTTGTCTTTCACGATTTTATTTGCTGTGACAGACAATTTGAATAATGTACATTCATATTGGCGCACTTGCCCCATTGTCGTATTAGTGCTTGTAGTTTCTAAAGATTTACTGAACTTGTTGCGCATTTAAACTAAAATCTGTTTTCAGTGAAAAAGAT